TACAGCATTCCCTCCGTATACGCGGGGGTTACGTTCCAAAAAAGCACCGCGTACGAGGAAACCGCGTATACTGAAACCAAGCTCTTATGGGATTTCAGGAGTTGCGTTCCTAGGAATCTCAAAATTTAGGAAAAATGTACAGAAAAATGATGAAATTAACGTATATTTAATACTTTATTGTGAAAAAAAGTCAGTTATACGCGATTGCTTGATTTTTCTTTGATAATCTTTGTATAAATCTTCGTAGATTTGAGCTGCTGTAGAACATATATGTTTAAAGTGCATGCTACGAGTTAATACGGGGTCTTCAGCTACAGCTTGAGTCAAGATAATTATAAAATTCAAGAGCTTCGTCTCGTATAGCTCGTTCACCGACAGGAATACTTTTGTGGAACAGATCTTGAAGCCACACCATTAACATTTCTTCCATTTTTGTAACGTTGAGATTCCGAGTGACTTTAGTAAGTACAGCATGTTTACCCAAATGTGCAGCGCTATTTCGAATATTGGCAGCGTTATCTCGTATGGTTCGAACTGTGGATTCATTAACATTAAATTTTCTTCCAACAGCCGCGACTTTCTCGCCGTCGTCGAGAAGATTTAAAATTTTAATTTTATCAGCAATGTTTAAAACTTTTCTGGATTTAGGTTTTGATGGTTTTTTTGCACTTGGAGCCATGATTTTGATTTTATTGCACAATAATATTTTTCAATGTCAACAATAAAAAAAATTGGTTATGTCTTGCAAAAAAATTGAGCTCCGAATTCGACTTAGATCCGCGTATACAGAGGACAAAAAGCGCGTATAAGGGAGGAATGTCTCAAACAGCAAACCGCGTAAGTCCGAAACCCGCGTATAAAAAATCCGCGTATAAGGAGGGACTGCTGTAATTAATTCTTAAAAAATTACGGATAAACTTACCATGTACCCTTTTTAATCTCTATAATGTAATGATTATATTTTCTTTTTAACAGGTTGCGAAATCCAAACTTGCAGGGCGAGATTTCGTGTGAGAAGATTGGATTGTCGTCATAGATTTTGTGTTCCATGCATCAGGAGCTTGAAAAAAAGGAGATGTCCAAAATGTTCAACTCCTATTGGCAATTATCTGCCTCCAAATCAGATGGGAGGAGAAAATTGGGAAAACGAGATGGAAACGGAGGAGCCTTTGTTTAATGCCATAAGTAATCGTTTGTTTTGTCTTCACAACGTAAACACACATTTAAAACTTGTTTTCTTTTCAGGGCAAAGAATCGACAACTGCAACTTTATTACGTTATAAACGCAATAATAATACAGACATTTAATTAATATGTTTTCGAGTTTTTTGTTATTTTTTTAAAAATAAATCACGGCATACATTTTCCACTGGAAATTGTGATTATATTTATTTATTCCCTTTTTCACCAACTTACCTTCCTTATTATCTTTAGAAAAACCGCAGCCAAGACATTGACATATAGTGGCTTTCTCCAAAAAATGATTACTATTATTTTTTTTAACAGTAATAATAAGTATAATAATATTTAAATTAGTAGTGAAAATTGGGAATTCCTTCTTGTGGGTTAAATTATAAAACTCTAAATTGTTGTAAATGGAAGTGTTAAAAATAAAAAAAAAAAAAAAAAAAAAACGTATTTTTAAACTTTTTATTTAAATTTTTTTAATAGTTTATATCTAGTCTATATATAAGTTTATATATAGGTTAATATAAGTCTATATGTAGTTTAGTCTATATGTAAGTTTAAATAAAATATTCAAATGTTCAGTTTAATATTATAAATTATTAATATAAATGAATAATAAAATGATTTAATTTTATTATTCATTTATAATATTAATCATCAAATACAAATCATCCTCTTCACTCTATTTACATTGATTATTTTCACCATTCAATTTTTACATTTTTTACTCCATCTTTTTTTTACTGTTAGTCGCCAAGCAAATATTGTACAAATCTTTGTTCGTTAGATTTTCGATAATCATGTCACAGCACTCAAGCGGCAGCCGACGGTGTATCAAGTCCCAGAGAGGATATACCGCCCAACGCCAGAAGAATCCTCTCGCTACTTTCTCGCACAGATGCAAAGCGCAAACCTCCTGATACTTTTTGGACATTTCACTGAAAGGATCCGATCTTGCAAACTTATAGTATTCATCATAAGTGACTATTTTCTCCGCCTCTTTGGGTCCCAATAGTAGTAGGTCGTGAAGCGACGGATTGGGACCTTCTTCGATCTCAATCTTTTCCTTCTTTTCCTTCTCATCTTCGTCGTCGTCATCGTCATCGGCAGGTTGTCTGATCTTCATCTCTTTCGCTTGGCTCGTGAATTCTTTATCGTCTTTTAGCAATTCTAAAAGGTCCGCTGACGATTCCTCGAAAAAGTTGTACTTGGCGAAGAGTTTCATGATCTTCAGAACGTCGCTATAGTCCAACTCGTATCCTCTTATCTGAAGGCTCTCGACGCAAGCCAGCAGACCAACCGCTGCCTCGAATTTAAAAATATTTTCGTCGCGCAAACTTGCAAAACACTCATCGAAATGACTCTCGGTAGGAAAAACGAACTTGGACAGATTGGCACCACGATCTAAGATTACATCGGTATGGTTCGGCACAGCACACGCGACTGCCCATTGAAGCGGTGTCCGACCCAACTTGTCCAAGGGGTCGATCTCGACGACCTGATTCAACTTGTCGTTGACCTTGAAAAATAACTTGGCCAAATCGTCTACATTCGTTACCCGAGCAACGAAATGGAGGGGAGTCGATCCTTCTGCATTGGCCAAATTCGGGTCAGCGCCTCTTTTGAGCAGCACTTCGGACAACTTCTTGTGGCCGTTGTTCAGAGCCAAGTGCAACGATGTGTAACCCTCTTGGTCTTGGGCGTTTATCTTTACCATCTGCTGTTTTTCATCGTTGATCGTTAAAAACAACTCCACCAAGGCAGTATTATCATAGTCGTAGTCGTTGTCGTCGTCGTCGTCGTCGTCGTCGTCGTCATCGTCGCCATTGTTGTCGCTGCATTTGTAAGAAATAATATGCAAAGGAGTCCCTCCTTCTTTGTTGACCGCATTCGGATCCGCGCCTCTCCTTAGTAGCAACTCAATCAAGTTTCTGTCGGGCTTATGCATAGCCAAGTGCAACGGTGTGTTGCCATTGTTTTCCTGGATGTTGATCTGCACCAACTGATTTTTTTCGTCGTTGATCCTGAAAAACAACTCTGCCAAGGCATAATTATCATAGCCGCCATCGTGGCCGTCGTCGTCGTTGTCATCGTCGAGATCGTGGTATTTGTAACATAATTCATGCAAAGGAGTCAATCCGTCCTCGTTGACAATGTTCGGATCCGAGCCTCGTCTCAGTAGCAATTCGATGGCTTTTTTCTTGCCATAGTCTAAGGCGACGTGCAGTGGAGTTCTGCCCTTCTTGTCCCGGGCATCGATTTGCAGCAGCTGGTTCAATTCATCGTTGATCTTGAAAAACCATTCCGCCAAGCCTTCGTCATCGTCGTCGTTGTCTATCTTGCATACGAGGTGTAAAGGAGTCCATCCCTTTCTGTCTATTATATTTGGATTCGCGCCATTTCTCAGCAGCAATTCGGCCGCCTCTTTGTCGCCGATGTCTAAAACTATCCAAAGGGGCGAATGAAATTTAGGATGCACAATATCGGGAGTGTGGCCGAGCTCGAGGAATTTCTGGATGACGACGCTATGACCTGACCAGCAGGCGACATGCAAATGTGTGAGGCCCGACTCGTCTGCGTAATTCACGTCATATCTGTCGTAGATTTTAAAAAGATCACTGACACACTCGATTTTCTCCTCCATAAAACTGCGATGCAACGGCGTTGTGCGACGCGACGATGACTTGTCGTCTCCGTTGATTTCCGTCGGCTCGTCTCTGTAGCCGGTAGAAGCCACGAAACCGATGATTAATTTTCCTGGGGCACTCACATCCACCATAGTTAAAGTAAGGGAATCGCAGAGAAGACGTTCGATTTCTTCGGGCCGAAAAACGTCCCGGAGGTTGGGAAGCTGGCCCTGCCAATCATCGATCAGAGGATGAAGATTACGGAGAAACTCGTATCGCTCTTCTAGGCTCTCCCAATTATTGACTGCACGTCGCAAGTCCTCCAGTTTTGCAAGGCTTACTTCGCCAAGGGGCTCTGTGTGCTCGCATTCGCAGACGTGGCTTTCGTGGTTGGACATCGTTTCACGCACCAACAAACAAACACAATCACTTATAATTTCAAGATATTAATTAATTTTTTTCACAAGAATTAGTTGCAACAGTCGATTAGATCTTCTTAGCTCAATATTCACGTTGGGGCGGCGTAGCTTGTACTGACTGTTTTCGTGTTCAACCGTCTATATTTCAGAAACTGAAGAGCACGTAGCACTATTCCATTTGAGAAAAACGTGGCTGATTGATAAAATTTGATGTACACTGAAAAAATGTTGCTCTGAATTAGTGATCAACTATGGTTCTGTATTGATAACGAAACTTTTGATAACGATGTAAATTATTCGTAAATATGATTTTATATGTATAAATCGAAGCGCATGCAGTGATAAAATGCTGAAGAAATTAAGTACTACGCGACCATTTTGCGTCGTTTTACTTATGCGCGGGGCGGAGCACGGTGTCAGGAATCGGCTAAAAAGTGGCCGAAATTCTTGCTTTGCTCGAATTTCGTCGCTAAAATAAAATAAAAATCATTTTCAGTAAACTTAGGTCAATATCAAAGTGGTGATGTAGCGTTTTAGGATATAACGCATCCTACTGAAAAATTCATCAAAATTATCGAAATTATTGAATTTTTCAGAATATTTCGGTATATTAAAACAGCAGTAGCTTTATTTAAAATGCACGTAGGATACTTTTAGTTACACGAATTTCAAGCTCTTGTGAAAACCTACAAGTCTATAGGCTTATAATTTATTTTATTTTGGTGACGAAATTCGAGCAAAGCAAGAATTTCGGCCACTTTTTAGCCGATTCCTGACACCGTGCGGAGCTTAGTAGAGTCGCACTGCAAACGCGACTGAAAAAGCAAGTTAAGTATTCTATAGACTCCGCCCAAGCATGACAGAAACGAAGGGGCATGATTACTGATGCACAGGATTTATTCCGCGAAAAATAATCCGATCGACAACTACGCGCCTTTAATTTCATTTTCCGACTTTCTGACTATTGTCGAGTTATGTAGACACAGATCTATATTACTCTCATAAAACGGAAATGATATCGAATTACAGAGTTATTTAGATTCGTGAAACCCGAGACACAAGTGATACGTCATCTTGCACCATCAATCAACTAGAAACAATAATGTTATTTTTTAAAGTTTATATTTAATAGCACTTTGAATGAAACAAACACCTTATTCTTATGTAATCAATTAATAACTTCATTTATGCTAGATGAGTAATACTAGTATGCACTGTTTGGAATATTACTTTAGCGTTTGTTTCATTCACAGTGGTATTTAATATGAACTCTGTGCAGAAAGTACTTGTGATTGAACTTTAAAAAGATAAATTAGTGTTTCTAGCTTGCTTCATGTCCTCAGAAAAAATATAGATCGTAAATGGAATTTCCGGTGTAAACAAATATTTTTAATGTTAAAAGCCAAGTCAAGCCAAAAAGAAGTGAAATAGGAGTAGATCATTCAGAAATCCAATTATCACCCTTATAAAAATTTCCTATAGGATCTCGCGAAATTCCTACAGGAGTCCTATAGGATTCCAGTAAGAATTTCGCGGGATCCTATAGGAAATTTTTATAAGGGCAGCCCATAATCAAAATTCAACAACATCTGATACTGTTAAAGAAGATTTTTCCAAAGAGCAACAACTTTTACACAAATATACACAACCATCAAAAGTCACTTCCAAACTTAAAAAATCCCCAGTCAAGCCCAAAAGTAGAAAATATTTGGATGCTTGCCCTGGAAGGAAAATAATCCATCAACAGACATCAACATCAACTCGGAATAAATCATTAAGAGAACAATTAATTCAAAATGAGTCACCAAATGGTGTAAGAATGATAAATAGAAAGTTATATGTATTGGAAAATTCGTCTGCCATTGATAGCATCATGGAAGTGGTCAAATTTTCGTTTTTGAATTATAACGATTTTAAGACTAGTAAGGACTTGAAATGTTCAAAAATTTGTAACAATGTTTGCTTAGTTAAATGTTTACTTCATTGCTTAACTTCTGGTCGATTTGTTAAATTTTACAACACGCGTGCTCAAGTGATGTTAAAAATAGGATCTTCTCAAGGAGACAGGATAAGCATCAATGAAAAAGTTGGATCAATTTTTGAAAAATTAATGAAACTCCACTATTCTCATGAAGTAAGTGGACTTTGCCTTATGTGCAAAGAAGTATTTTGTTGCGATGAACCGATTCTGGTTTTTTCAGAAACTGATAAGTTCACAATTGTAAATTTGGAGAAACTTGTCTAAAGTAAATTTTCAAATTTGCACATAAAATGTGATTGCATGGTATCATACAAGTTTGGAGCTTATCTTGCTATTGATATTGAAATATTAAAATTGTCAATGAAGCTTAATGAAATCCCAAATCAAATAGTACTTTTAAATTCCAACCAGGAATCTAATACATTTGTTCTTTCTGGAGTTATTGGAACTGATGAAGAGGCTCTTAATGACAATGTCAGTTATTGCAGAAGAGTAAACAATTTATGGGACAAGAGGAGCAACACTGCAAAGACAATTGCTAAACTTAAGAAATTACCATTAGTATCTCTAAAAATCCTGTTTTATGTAAAAATAACTGAACAATAGTTGTTAACAAAACCAAAATCTATTACTTATAAGCCATTTGTGTGATACTATTTCCTATATGAAAGATTTAGATTAGTTTACCTATTTAGTTGTAAATCATAAAATAATCTACACAAAGAATGTTAATATCAACTATAAGCAATAATATTTCAAAATTTTAAATAATTAGCGTTTATTTGGTGATCAGTTAATCACAAGTCATTATAGTCAAAAGCTTTTATTTTAAATAAAATTATTTAACCAATAATCATAATACTTATAGTACTTTTCTCTTCATGAATACATTCATTGATTATGAGACATACAAAGTGTCATATAAACCAAACCCTCTTTGTGCACTCATGGCTGTATTATCTTATTCATGTACATTTCATTGTATTCTATACTTGTTTGAACTTTAAAAATCAGTCATTTTTTCATAATCATAAGCATTATTTTAGATTCTTGTCAAACCCTTCAATTGTCAAAACAATTCAATTGTGAAGCGAACGTCAACTCTCTATTTAGACTATTACTTGGGTCGACTGCGGGCTCAGTTAATCTTATTGCTTGTGAGGATTGTCGTACTAGTATAAATGAAGCTGGAAGGCCATTAATAGTTGAAGATTCAACAGTTGAAAAATTTAGTGATACAGTAAATTTATCAACTAAAGACATAATAAGCCTATGTGTGCAAAGTGTCTTTGAAAGCACAGAATTGACATGTAGAAGCTGCCACAGTTCAGCAGAGAAAACACTATATAGCATACACTCTTTCATAATCATAGATATTGAATCTCTTTTTCTAAGAGCGGATTTCTTTTGTGACACATCAGATATACCACTGATTTTAACATAATCTAATTATACTTTACAATTGACTGGAATTATTGCATACCAGCCAAATCACTATGTATCATATTTATATTCAGCTTTGAATGACACATGGGAGTTAAAGGATGATACAAAGAACATACAAGACATTAGAAAAAAATTTTCTCATATTAAGATAAATGTTCTTGTTTACTGTAAAAAGTAACATTATATTATTTATTGTAATTAATGTAAGTGTAAAGTAGACATTCATTATGATGCCCTTTATCAGAAAAATATCAGTAAAAATTTAGTTTGATAATTACTTATTGTTGTAAGTTGTTACAATTTTTGACATTAATTTGATCTTAATAACATGAATGCTTTGTAACAAATGATTAATTATCAGAAATAAGCATTATCATAGATCTCTTTGCTGTCTTGATACTAGAATTGTTTAATATATTCTTACATGAACAATTGCGTTCTGTAAAAACTACTGAAAACCGTTTAGTTGCATTTTATTTTATACTTGACCATAATTTTATAAAAACTTTTCTACTTTCTCTGTGATTAGAGGAGTTCATTCTATTGAGTATTTGAAAAAATTAATTAAATTTATGACTTAAAATCTGTTTATAGGTATTTGTTAGAGCAAAACTCTAGGAAAATAAAGATTTGGTTTCATTAATATTGTTTGATCACTTGTTATCGTACTTTAATTAGCTTCAAAATCCATTTAAAAGTAACACATACATGTGAGCTTGTGAGCTTGCCAAATTTCATGTACACAAATACCCAAGCAGCAAAGGACAGAGCAAGTGTAGTTATAGAATTTGACTGGATTATTTTCATTTCGAGTTTGTTGTCATTGAAGTAGCATAATATACCACTGCTGCAATTTGTATTCCAGATACTCTTAATGAGCTTATAATCTTAATGAGAAGAAGATCAACTACTCAAGCATCATTCATCAGATTTTCAGAGTAGTAGTATGCGCCTGCAGTGTTTTCACATTCCATTTTTCGACTATGGTCGCGTAAATAAATTATGTGACGACGAGAGGAGAGTTACAATAAATTAAAAGTTTAGCTTAATTAATTGCAATTAATCTTTTATAACAATGAACATATTTGCAGAAGGCGTAAATTTTGGCACAGTTATTACGCCTAAATTTGATGTCATTTTATATACTGTTGTCTGCTGCATGTTCTGTTGCCCAACTTCTCACATCACCGAGTGATGGCGCGGGTGTCAGAATTTTAAAAAGAATGCAAATAATGTTTTTCGGATAAATTTATGCATATTATGCATCAAAGAGTGCATTTGTAAGCACCAATCGTTTGCGCTTTTCACGAACAAACCATTAGTTGCTCTCATCGTGTCAAAAATATAATAAAAATAAAAAATATGGCATGTTTCCTTTTGGGGGCTGGAATTCCCTTATAAAAATTTCCAATAGGATCCCGCGAAATTCCTATTGGAATCCTATAGGACTCCTGTAGGAATTTCGCGAGATTCTATAGGAAATTTTTATAAGGGTTACAGCACCCATTTTGAAAATTAACTTTTCCATGGAAAATTTTCCACGCGCAAACGTGAGATTTGGCAGTTTGATAAAACTTTTTACGCGCAAACGAATGATATTAATTTTAAAGGTGAAAAAGCACTTTTTCATAATCTGGTGGCTAACTTTATGGACCTTGACTTGAATATAGTTTTATTGGCAACACAAAGAAATTTGTACATAGCCACGTATAACTTTATGGACCTTCCGAGCGCAGCGAGTGGCGCCACCCCGTGGAAGTAATTGTAACTTACCTTGTATGGGGTTCTGCTCCGAAGAGAAAGAGAAAGTGTGCTGCGATGTGTTCGATGGTTATGTTGCGCGAAATGTGCATCGAGTTAATTCAGTGTAGTCTTGTTCTTGTAGTTGGTATTGATCACGAAGTTGATGAGTGATTCTGATTATGTCTCGGTGTTATCGGATTTCATGGATTCCGTGAGAATTGATTTTTTAAGACGAAAAAGCCTCGGAAAAAAGGATGTTCGATCTTCCGATTTTTTGGATAACGTTGATAGAGAAATGCGTACCGTTATTCTTTGCTTAAATAGCTGTAATTTCACGTAAGCTCTTCAATCAGTCTCAATATTTTTGATTAAGATGATCAATGACACTTTTTTTCGTTCTTCACTCGTGGACTACTCAAACTAGACTAATGAAATTAGGTACCTAAGCCATCGAGCGGAAACACAGAACAATTAAGGAGGCTCTTTCGCTGCAATGTTTTTTACATTAAGCGTGCGGAGAGCTAATGCATGGTGCAGCACGCAACGTACTGCGCATGTGCTGTGCCACTAGTCGCGAGCAGTCAGCAGAGTAGTATAAGAATTTTTTTATTATATAATTGTTAAATATTCATTAACAAATTTATTTAAAGAATTTTAGTGTTAATATTTTTTTAATAAAAGAATTTTTTTACAGAATTTATACTATTTTTTTTTTTAAGCGCATTTGAATTTCACGCGCTTTCGTGCGCACTGCAATGCTGCTGGCTGCTTCGAGTCGCCCCCCAAAATTGACCATATAAAGTGGATTATCTTCTTAGAACGGTCAGCTACCCCAATTTTTTTTTACAGGAAACGATTCGTGAAACTCTAACGAATCAATTGATATAAATTTTTTGAGGATGTAGAATTTTTTACAAAAGTTATTAACGAAACAAGATCATTTCCTATACAAGTCCATGTTAAAATTGCAATTTTCGACAGCATTTTTCTCGGAAACGAGTTCAGCTACCCCCATTTTTTTTTCTTCCGACATAATTGTGAGGCTCTAACGAATTGATTGATATAACTTATATGAGGACGTAGAGTTTTTATCAATATCGAAAGAGCCTCCTTAAGTACGCGAAAAAACGACTCATTCACGAGTTCTGAGTTTTGACTCGAGTGGAAACGTAGTAAAGTGACATCTACGGTCAAAATAGCAATTTTTTCGAAACAGACTGAAGAATGTACGCGCGCGAAGCGCGCTTGAAAGTTATAACCTCAAAATACGAATGACAAAATTGACGCGCGCGAAGCGCGTCTCAAACGTCTATAGATTTAAATCCGTTCTATTGTCCAAAATTAATAGTAAATTTTATGTATACATTTGCTCAATTCCCAGTATTTTCTAACGTGATGATGGAGTTTTTTCATTGCCAAGCCAAAGCAGCCAGTTCAGCCCCATGTGAAGCTTATTTCAAAGATCTCAAGCACACGTACGATCTGAAAAATCTTCCGAATGCAAATAAATGTATATTGCAGCATAAACAAGTGATTGAGTCACAGGTAAAATTCGCCATGGGCGAAATTAAAAAATATGAATTACAAGACTCATAACACACTTGTATTTTCACTATACTTATTTGCTAAAAGCAACGTTTTTGGTGTCTCAACTTCTTACTTATCACGAACACTTTTCTACAAACATATTACTAACAAAAACAGATCAAATAAAATGACATTTATCTAGCTGATAAAATAAAAAATACTACATGTTTTGTTTTCAGCAAAACTGTGGTTCTAATAGATTTGAAAAAACATTAATCGTAACATTAACAAAAACATGAATCTCTTGTATACATGCATTGTAAATGGATGTTCTTAGTAGTAAACGAGAATCAGATTATTTTCTTGCATTCACCATCGATTATATGACTGCTAATATTTGTGTATTACATGCATACGAAAAAAAGTTAAACAAAAAGATCATACAACTGTACTGTCACTTTATCAATCGCACCTTCTTCAGAAATACAAATTTCGATTGGTTTTTTTTTAAAAATTAGAGAACTACGTTAACGATTGATTCAAGCGTTAGTAAAATACATGAGTCTAGTATAATTTTAATACATTTGAAACGGCTTAAAGACTGAGATAGTTCATAAAATTTTTCTAATACTACTTTTTTCATTTGTGAATCAAGCTATACACAGTTTTATAATTTAAAGAAATCAGTATATATATGTTGAAAATTGAGAAAATGCTATTTTTATGGTAAAAAGTTTTTTCAAGAGCTTTAATTAAAAATCAATTAATGAATTAGTTCTGATCATTTCCAACAGTATTGAAACTTTAAATTTGAGAGAAAGTTAAAAAGTGTAATGGATCTCTATGCATTGTCTTAACTTTAAATATCAATTCTATATAATCATTCAAAATCATGTATATATGTACAAATATTTACTATTCAAGTGATAGTTGTGAAATTTTTTTTCTCTCAAGGATATACCTTACATACAGATTATTCGCAAATCATGTAGATTGCATTATAAAAATCCTTGCATCTGTTACTAAATATTGACTCAATACTAGTTGAATTGAATCGATTCAAATTTTAAAACTGAGCGTCATTGATTGCCTACTATCATACTAGCTGCATGCGCTGTTAATTTTTCCTTAATTCTATCCTATTAAAAGATAATAAACGATTTCAATATTTTTTAAATAATTTTCATGAAAACTAAATACGTAGTAAAAACTTATTTTGAGTTTTTATCTTACCAAATGCATATAACATTCATTTCCACAAAGTTCAGGAAATGGTTTTAGATCTGGTCCTTTGGACTTTTTTAGGTTTTGTCCAGAATGACAGACTTGCAAACCTGTTAATTTAAAAAATTTTATTTTCAATCGGAATTTTTTTTTATGCATTTTTTAAAGTCAGGACAATAAATTTTAATGATTAAACAATACATCAATGAATTCAGTAAAACCGGTAGCAAAAGAAAGTTCTTTGTAACTGGATTGTAAGTTTTATTTTGCCTGGTAGAGATGCTTATTTATTAAAAGATAAAATTTAATCATGTGAATAATAGGTTCAGTCAGAATTCATCATGAGCAGTATCAAAAATTAAAAATATCAACTGTAAATATTGTAAAAGTACATATGATGTAAAAAGCAGCCATACTTGAAACATCTTCTGCAGAATAATGTGTGAAAAGAGTGCATGGTTTGTTCTCTGCAAGTAACACCATCGATATTTGGAGTACATTGTGGAGGAAGAGAATTTGGATCAGACCTTTCTGTCGGTTCAACGCACTTTTCTTTTAATTCTTCTGGTTATTATGAAGGACAGTTTCATCTTTAACCATGAAATTTTGTTGTATCGGAAAGAACAAATATTTAATTAAATGATTTTTCAAATAGACTCAATAATAAATAAAATTTTGGGATATTAAGATTTGAAAAACAAAAAATTCTTCAGAAGGAGAATTACAAAAGTTGTATTGCGTGGCTTGGTACCTCTGTAAGTACAAGAATGATTTAGATCCTGATTTGATATTGGAGCTGCATTGTTTTGCTCTGCACTCTGAAGCAATAAGTTGTTAATTTTCTTATAATGATTGTAAATAGCAACACTGAGGACTTTCTTAGCGCATTCTTATTTATTTTATATTTATACTTATTACTTAGCGTATTCTTGTTTATTTTGATTCTCAAAAATCTGTAAAGAATAATTAGATCAATTTTTGAAAAAATGAATTACAGACTATAGACGTACTTTTTTAGGAGGTCTAGGTGGTTTTCTGTAGAATCCTTGTTTGTTATATTCTGGTTCAAGAGCTTCTTTGAGACTTCTTTTAGAGTCCATTTCAGCAAGACCAAAGAAGTGATGGGATTTTTCACATTTGACAAATCTAGTTGAACCTAAAATTATAAAACAGTGCTTAGATTAAGCTTTCAACTTTTTAGGAAAAAATAGAAAATGAATAAAAAAGTTACAGAAAAATGTTTTAACATGTGTACACGGATCTTGACACTTTGAACAAATGAGATTGTTTTTTCTATCTCCGTTACTACTACTTGTTTATCCACCAGTAGTTGCGCTATTCCCAATTGTAGTTCTTTAGTTCTTATTCCAGAAGTAGAAATGGTTTGAGGTGTCACTGGGGATGAAGAAAATGAACTGGAGGCATTGAATAAAGAATTATCAGTCTAAACCGTCTACTCACCATGATTAGAGACATGATTCGAGATGGCCAGTTGAGCTTTATCAATTAGGCAGCATTTTACAGAGCTCATATTGATGTCAAATTAAATAAAAATTCACACGTGCAAAATTATCTAGACTGATGAAGAATCAGATCTATAACATGAAATTCACACAAACTTTGATGAGTGTTTGCAATATGTTAAAGCAAAAATGAGTAATGTATTTAGGACCTGAGTATTGCAAGGTTTTAGATACATAATTACAGATAATTATTTATGAAGCAAGGTATATCTAATTTAATAATTTAAAGAATTAATATAAATTGAAGATTGACAAAATGCTATTTTTATGGTGAAAAGTTTTTTCAAGAGCTTTAATTAATTTATGCTGTATTTGTTTTTTCTTTGTAATGTTACTGCACAAGTTCATTGATGAATAGAAATCAGTGCAGGTAATTAAATAACTTTGATCGGTTTGATGGAAATGATTCTTGAGAAATTAAAGCACACTATAGATTTTGGTGGTTAATCTGGTAACCCATGGAAAAACTAATGCAGCGATTCTTCATTTGTGTAACTCGTACTTACTTTCAAGGCCTGATTACTTTTGATAAATTTGATTCATTACAAATCATTTCAGCAAAATGTCTTTATCGCTGAGTCTGGCTAGTGTGTTGCTAATGAAGCTGCAATATCCCTCTCTGCATATATCCCTCTCTGCGACTAAGAAATTAGAGCTAGAATATTCAAACCACAAGCATCTTGATTTTTGTTTCATGTCTTGGGATGACCTTTTCTGTATTTGAGGTATTTCTTCTATATCTATTGAATATTTTTCATAATATTGTTTTTTGACAATTTTTGAAAGTTAATCCAAAAGAAGTTTTGTAGATTTCTACACGCAAAAAAATATAAAATGTATAATAAACGTTGAAAGACAACAAGTCAAAAAATGATGATAAGGATAATACTTACAGAAGATTTATAGAATATTCATAATAGCTTTAAATATTTTCTCCATTGATTAAATGTAAGCTACTAGAGATGCACACAAAACAAATGGCTTTATTTATTGTAAACATGTTGTCACGATACTTGATTTTGAATGAAACGCCAATTGAATTACTGGTATCCAACTGTTAAATTGATGAGACAGAAAACCCTGGATTGTTCTTCTTCTTCTTCTTCTGTGGCTCCGACAGTGAGCAAGCTCTGTGTCATACGGCCATTAACGGGCTTTGAAAAGGCGGGAGATTGAAAATGAAATGTTAGAGAGCGAATATTAGAGTTTTTTGTTGCATTTTGATAGAAATTTGCAAAAAATTTCTGCCCTGGATTGTGATTTGTGAGTGTAAACACAGGCCACAGTGCGCTGCGTAACGCGCGCCGCGCAATCGCAGACTCGCGCCTGGGGGTGCGAAAAATAATGATATCGCAAAAATCAGTTATTATGCATTTTCCGGGGAAAGTAATTAAGCAAACGTTAGGTAATAAGTTAAGTAATTAGTTAAAGTAATAAGCAAACGTTCTGTGCATGAATATTTTCACTTTGGTGCCTTGAAACCATAAAAAAATGACGACCCAGTTGAAAAAAATTGCGTGGATATCCACGCTGATTCCACGTGGATCATACAGGGATTCCTTGAGGATGGGACATTGATTCCACGTGGATCATACAGGGATTCCTTGAGGATGGGACATTGATTCCACGTGGATCGAACATGGATCATATAAAGAGTCCACGTACGTAAACCGTGGGGATTGGCACGGAAATCCTCGTTGATTTTCGATCGATCCACGGGGATTTTTGCACAAATCCTCGTTGGTTTTCGATCGATCCATGGGGATTGCGCGGAAATCCTTGTTGATTTTCGATCGATCCACGGGGATTGCGCGGAAATCCTCGTTGATTTTCGATCGATCCACGGGGATTGCGCGGAAATCCTTGTTGATTTTCAATCGATCCACGGGGATTGCGCGGAAATCCTCGTTGATTTTCGATCGATCCACGGGGATTGCGCGGAAATCCTTGTTGATTTTCGATCGATCCACGGGGATTTTTGCGCAAATCCTCGTTGATTTTCGAGCGCATGCTCGCGAACAAGTTCCACAGCTACGAGGATTGAAAAAAAATCAGCGTGGATCAGTCGAAAATCCGTGGTGATTCGTCGCAAATCCTCGTGGATGTTTTGAGCGCGTGCTCGCGAACAAGTTCCACATCCACGAGGATTGAAAAAAATCAGCGTGGATCAGTAGAATATCCGTGGTGATTGCATTTTTTTCAGCCCATGATCGATCCACGAGGAATCCCTGTATGATCCACGTGGAATCCCTGTACGATCCACATGGAATCCCTGTATGGTCCACGAGGATTACTAATCCTCGTGGATTTCCACGTGGATATCCATGCAATTTTTTTCAACTGGGGATTTTATAAAATTTCTAGCAAGCGTCTTCGATGGGTCGTAAATCTGCAGCGGTGACACGAATAATTACTTTTTTCTTTTATTCTTAATGCGCAAAAGATTCTACATGCCCCTGTAAAACCTCGTCTAATTCTAATTTTTGGACTTGCTAACATTACAAAACCCGTTACCGACAGTAGTCAAAATAATTCATGCGAGAATATATTATAATATTGGACGACAATTGATATGATAAAAAAAGTTCACATTCACAAAATAACAAATTCTATTTATTAATTATTTATAATTGGCGTTCGTAAATTATAAAAAAATATCTTTTTGAATCCTGTAATTGTACTTGTTGATATATTTTTTAACATAATTATCGTCAGCGTGATGCCAATTATCATGCACTTTAGTAAAAGCTGTATAACGGTCTTCTACAATACTTTCTCCATGATGACAAATAAAACTTCTTAATTTATAATTTTTGCTTAACGACACATCTGTGGATCTAAATACGGTATTCATTAATATTATACACTCGGCAACAAAATTATCGCAACAAAAAAATTCATCGAAATTTTGTCGATTTTCAAATGCTTCTATCTTGGGCTAGATTTATCGTATCGACACGCTTTTTTTTTTAATTTCTTGGAAATTTTGTCCTCTTTAAATCCATATAAATTAAGATAAGATTTGAGTTAATGTTGAGTTACCAGTAGTATTTGAGCGTGACCCTAAAAATTACTGAAAAAAAATGACTGTTTGAACGTGTACCAGTACCACAGTGATTTTTTTATCGAAATCTAACATACACCATCGCAAAGTGCTCTTTTTAACGAGTAATTTAAAAAAAAAAGACCTCTCTACGATTTTTTTAACGCCCTGTAAGTCGATTTGAAGATACCATTTAAAGTACGTAAAATCCCCCGTTTACCTGAAATCAAGACGATTTTCTGGGCATTTTGCGTACATAAACCGGACCTTCAAATCGACCTACAGGGCGTTAAAAAAATCGTAGAGAGGTCTTTTTTTTTTAAATTACTCGTTGAAAAGAGCACTTTGCGATGGTGTATGTTAGATTTCGATAAAAAAATCACTGTGGTACTGGTACACGTTCAAACAGTCATTTTTTTTCAGTAATTTTTAGGGTCACGCTCAAATACTACTGGTAACTCAACATTAACTCAAATCTTATCTTAATTTATATGGATTTAAAGAGGACAAAATTTCCAAGAAATTAAAAAAAAAGCGTGTCGATACGATAAATCTAGCCCAAGATAGAAGCATTTGAAAATCGACAAAATTTCGATGAATTTTTTTGTTGCGATAATTTTGTTGCCGAGTGTAGTAATAAAATAATTTGTTTAATAAGAAGAATAAAGTGAGAACTAACTTTAAAAAATTTAAATCTAGATAATCAGGAACGTAGACCGGCTGGCAAATTTTATTATTATTCACGCTGAATCTGTTCAGAGCCAACAGCACGAACTTTGTATACTTGGATATACAAGTGCGTTGATGATGTAGTACTTTTCAAGCATTTAGAACATTCTTGTTCTCTCATTATTTTTAATTTTGAATAAAAGGTCTGTTAAATTTATATTTTCTTGTTTATGATCATTATCCATGGACAAAACATAATATTATGATCTTCTTCCAAAGATATGCCATTATTTGTACCGTTATAACATATTTACTGCACAAAAGACTTTTTTTCAAGGTGACAGTAAATAATTCGTCCAGAAATCTATTTTGCCTATCACTTGCTCCATAGACTTATTTAAAATGACACAAAAGACTTTGAACAAATTCGGTATAGTCCTGTTGCTCTCTCGATGCATACGACGACACATTTCCAACATTGTCGACTTTGTTGAAAACAACTAAATTATAAAATACAAATTCAATAAAATTATATAATAAAGCCGATGTAATTGATTTTAAATTAAATATACTCACTTCTTCAATGTTGAAATTTCTTGATCGTTCGATTTAAGTGCTTGCAAGCATGCTCTCAATTTCAAAAACAATTTTAAAATAATCGAACTGCAAGTTACTCCTTTAATACACGAAGAATTGTATATCGGTAATGAAAATAAAACTTGCACGGTAGAATTAACATTGGTTTCCATCATCAGAGAGTCCAACAACTGAATAATCGATCTGAATGATCTGGGCTAGTGAACATACAAAGTGTACAAATATTTTCGTTAAAAAAGTATGCTGCACAATTCTCGTGAGCCTTTCGTTTACAAAAGTCACACCTGTATTGTAAAACTTGAGTTTTATTCTCACAACCTATGCACACTCTGTCGATCAAGAGACGAAGAATTTTGCATAATAGTTTGAGCCAATATAACTCTATAATTATCTGGACATTCTGACGAATAAGTATTATCATAATAATCTTTCTTCGCTATGAAATTCATATATTTTATGACATATATAACGCAGTTATACAAATCTTCTTGAACGCTAAGCACGAATTGCTCGAGAAATCGGTAGATTTTGATGAACGTTTGCTTAAAGATGAAGGATTTGCGAAAAAACGAAAGATAAAATGATTGTTCGGAGTCTGTCGCTATACGACTTGATCCGGATGCGACTTGAAGAGGCAGAAAGGCTACTCCCTTATTTCATGCTTATTATATTTTATGCCAACCGATGCTTATTTAAACTTGAAACACGGCTGCCGCTAATTTCAATGAGGAATGCGCCATCTTTCTCAGAAGATAGGGAAAAAAATTAGAACTCATTTTTAAAATTCATTCATATATTTATTTCAATAATATGGAAAATATAAAACATAAATAACACTATCAATGCGTATTCCAGAAATCATAATTTTTGTCTCTCGTTTTATTAAATTCATAACAAGATAAATAAGAACCGTTATGATTTTTACACATGTTTATAATTACTACATCTTGTAGTCTCATTTGAACTTTTTTAGCTCTCGCTTACCCTCAGTCTTTTATTATTACATTTTATTACATATTTTATTACATCTTTCTCACTGCCGTTATGTTTTGGGCTGTTAACCGCCAAGAAAATATGATACAAATCTTTGTTTTTCAATATCTCGAGGATCATCTCGCACATCTCAAGTGGCAGCCGATAATGTATCAGCTCCCAGAAGGGCTCCAGTGCCCAGCTCCGGAAAGATCGTCTCGATAATTTCTCGAATAGATCCATGGCACAACTCTCCCAACACGTATGAGGAAGCCGAAGAAATTCTTT